CTGTGGGAGAGTTGACAATAGAGAGCAGCAAAAAAACCCTCTCATGAAGATGAGATTATACTAATTTGTTCAGGTGTGGACTAACATCACCGTCACTTTGAAAGTGTTTTCCTAGATTTTGCTTTTAAAAATTAATCAGATAACACTTAAAACTGTTTGAAAAGCAACAAAATACAAAGCAGCAGAAGGAATTTTGGGGTTTTAAACTTTCTCATATGCTCTTTAGCTCACTGCAAGTTTACTGCTGATTGTGTTAGGATGGACTATGACTCACTTTCTATCTAACCTCATCTCCTAAATACTAGAATTATTATAACCTCAGATTCCTATTCTGGACAAGTCTCTCACTGCTCTCTGCTAGTGCATCACTGCATATGGCAGTCATGCTGAGCCAAGAACAGCAGACACTGACTCTAACTGTCTCTGTCCTAAACAAAGCAACGTGATCTGAAGTGTCAAACATTTCTCTAAACTACATGAGGAAATACCATTATGGTTTTAGAAAGGAAGTACACGGCCACTGAAATCACTAAGCATAGTGATATCCACAGACACAAGACTTCATCAGGAGTTACTTCAGTTATTCAAGCAGTAACTTACATGCTGGTGTGATGTCTGAAACAGTTTTCTTCACCTGATGTCTCATTTACATAGCCCAATCACAGCATCCACCAACTCCAGCTGTATCCAGGAAGATCAAACACTTGTGCAAATCTGGTTACCAGGTTCCTTTTCTGCTCAGAAAACAACTAATGCATAGCTAGTGTTTGCAAAAAATTCAGTTCAACCCACGAATACACTTCTTACAAGAACTATTTCAGAAGCAAGAAATAATTCCATTTCCTTAGTCTCTTCAACTGAGACCACTGTTTCCTGACCTGTATCTCAAAACCTGCTCTTTCTGTCATACAAATTATAATGCAGAGGTATTGGTAAAGGAGTGCCATTAGTAACATTTTTACCGTGTTCTTCCTTTATCTCAGTTCTCGCCTTCTCGTCCCCCATCCCCTTTCCATCTGTTCACCTTTCCCATTCTCTCACTACCCCAAATCGTTACAGATTTAAGGCTGTAACAATTTGTGTTCTTTGGTGCCCTCTACGGGACAGATTTCTGCAATCGAAAGTTGCCAGGAAGAAACCCGACTTCTACCTCCCAGAAGAGCAAGAACAAGACAATCTAAATTAAGTACATTTGGAACTTCTGAATTGCTAATGACTTTAATCCATTCATAGTGTCCATGTTACGGGTCTCTGCAGCTACTGCTTCAGCAGCACCTGCTTTTCTGTAAGAGCTTTCAACTCTTCCTCAATAAAGCAGCAACAAGTTTCCTGAAAAAGGTTTCAAATTTTTTTTTTCCAAACCTACAAAAGCCAAGGTCAACAAGTGTTTAGTCTCATCTTCTACTCAAGGTCACAACACATACGTGACAACTGGTTAATGAGATACATATTTGATAGGAAAGGCTTAATTTGAACTTACATTGCAAGGAATGCAATAAAAATCTCACTTTGGAAGGTCAGGAAAAGGACATCAGAGAGGATTTTTAGGTATTGAGACAGATTCTGACAGTAGAACTGTAGTTTAAAAGGCTTGATTTTTTTTCCTCCCAAGACACAAATTACAGAGTATCCAGCTTCCAAATACACAAATATACCCTATCTCAACAGGATTTTCATCCAGAGAACTTGGAACACTTTTTAGGCACAATATAAATACTCATCTCCAAGAGAATGAACAAAACCCATACTATCTTCTATGTACTAACTGTCCAAGGGGACACTCTTTTTCCTAATTAAAGGTGAGCTATGTCAAGACACCTGTAGCCTAGTTTTTTAGTAGAATAAGAATCTCACCATCATGGCTGGGCTTTGCAAATGAAGATTTGGGAAGGGCTCTACCCACGCTTGTTACAAGCACGCTGGTGGCTAAAAAGGCCAATACGAGATAGACAAGTCTGGTTGCAAAAGGCACAGCAGAAAGACTCCTCAGGTGGAATATTCAGCAAGACACGATCCCTTCTGCGTTGTCTTTTCTCCTCAAGGGTGATCCTGCATGCATACTCAAAAGCAGCAGCGTTATAGATACTGTGCCTCCAGACCTCCTGACTGGAGGCCAGAGTAGACCAGTTATGGTGATCAATATGACCAAGGCTGAGATGTTGTTTCAGGGAGTCCTTGTATCTTCTCTTTGGCGCTCCTCTCTTGCGGCAGCCGGTGGCAAGTTCACCATAAAGCAAGATCTTAGGGAGGTGGTGGTCCTTCATCCTGGAGACATGCCCTGACCAGTGCAGCTGTGTTCTCAGTAACATGGTCTCAATACTTGTAACTGCTGCCTGTTCTAGAACAGATGTGTTAGTCACATAATCTGACCAGTGGATGTTTAGGATTATACGGAGGCAGTGCTGATGGAAGCATTCTAAGAGTCGCAGGTGGTGGCGATAGATGACCCATGATTCAGATCCGTATAAGAGAGTAGACAGCACTATGGCTCTGTAAACACTGATCTCGGTACTTTTCTTCAGGTGTTTATTTCGTCACACTCTTTTATGAAGCTTTCCAAAGGCACTGTATGCCTTTGCTATCCTGTTGTCTATCTCTCCGTCAATCTCACCATCCGAGATGATGCTACCTAGGTAATTAAACTGCTGGACTGATTTGAGCTCTGATTCGCCAATGGTGATATGGGGATGATGGAAGACTTCCTGAGGTGCAGGTTGATAGAGAACTTCTGTCTTCTTTAAGCTGACTTCCAGCCCAAAGAGCTCAGCAGCGTCTGCGAAGCAGGATGTTAAACGTTGCAGAGCTGCTTCTGTGTGGGTGACGAGGGCGGTGTTGTCAGCATAAATCAGCTCCTGGACAAGATGATTTAAGGTCTTAGTATGGGCCTTCCCGTCCAGAACAAGTGGTGGATCAATCTAGTTGAAAAAATTCAATTATGTGCAGATACAGGTGATCACAGAGGATTCTATGAGGCCTTGAAAACAGCATACAGGCCTACATACCACGTCCAAAGCCCTCTACTCAGCACTGATGGTCAAACATTTCTGACAAATAAAACCTCCATTCTGAATCGATGGTCTGAACACTTTCAGACTCTTTTCAGTACTAGCCGTGTAGTTCAAGACTCAGCAATTCAGTCCATCACACAACAACCAGTGAAGAATGAATTCGATACTGCCCCCGCTTTAGGAGAAACTCTTAAGGTCATACAGCAGGCGAAAATCAGCAAGGTAGCTGGGGTTGATGGAATTCCACCTGAAGTCTGGAAGCATGAGGATCAAGCACTCCATGCTAAATTTCATGAGTTTGTGGTGTGCTGTTGGGAACTAGGCAAACTACCATCAGACCTGCGTGATGCAGTCATCATCACTTTGTAAAAGAAGAAAGGAGTTAAATCAGACTGTTCAAATTACCGTGATATTACTCTGCTCTCCATTGCTGGCAGAATAAGAATCTACACGGATGATTAATGCTCAGTAACCTGCCATACCTTATTCCTCACACACTTCTCTAAATACAGGAGCATACAAAGAATCACAGAATCGTTTGGGTTGGATAAGATCGCCAAGATATCAAGTCCAACCTGTGACCGATCACACCTTGTCAACTAGACCACAGCACTAAGTGCCATGTCTGATCGCTTCTTGAACACTCCAGGGATGGTAATCCCAACACCTCCGTGGGCAGTCCATTTCAATGCTTAACAATCCTTTCCATGAAAAAATTCTTCCTGTTGTCCAACCTGAACCTCCCTTGGTGAACCTTGAGGCTATGTCCACTCATCCCATCATTAATTGCCTGTGAGAAGAAGCCAACCCCCACCTCACTACAACCTCATTTCAGGTAGTTGTACAGAATGATAAGATTCACCCTCAGCCTCCTTTTCTCCAGACTAAACACCTCCATCTCCCTCAGTTGCTCCTCATCAGACTTGTCCTCCAGACCCTTCACCAGCTCCGTCGCCCTTCCCTGGACAAGCTCCAGCACTTCAGTGTCTTTCCTGAAGTGAGACCCAGTACTCAAGTACAAGGCCTCACCAGCGCTTGTACAGGCACAGGCCCAGATTCATCCTCATTAGCTTTATGTCAAGTGACTAACTATAATCTCATAAGCAGCTGTCATGAAAGTGATAGGCATGGTTTTGTTTCCTTTGTCAGTGATGGATGGTTGAGGGGAAGAAAAGGGATAGCTGGGTTTTATTGAAAGGTTTGGGATTGCTGGGGAAGTGTATAGGTATTTGTAGTTCTGGTGACTCATTTGCAATTTTTAGTTGATTTAACCAACTTCAGGGATAAAACTTGAAGTAAACTATGTGACCAATTGCAAAGCATTCACAGAAAAGCAACAACAATTACTAGATTCTATCATGTCTCCCCTCTATTAGATATTAGATAGAGGGGAGACAGGATAATAATATTCAAAAATATAAACAATATCCACAAATGAAAAAGAATAAATTACTTAGAGTTAGAACATGAAATAAAGGACTTGCAACATTTATAAGAAATTTTAAGCTTCTACAAAGAAGCAGCTGTCTAACAGATAAGAAAGCATTGGAACTGACTACTGAGGAGGCAGCGGAAATTTCAATGTCAGGCATTTTTAGGAACAAAAAATCAGGATTGGTTTAGATACAGTGGATTCTGCGAAGGGAAGTGACTAAAGAGGAACAAAAGAAATATTCCAGTGACAGGAAAAGGGTAAAATATGCCCAGGAAGTTGGGGGTAAAAAAAGGCTGTCAGCAGAAGGCCTAGGGGAAAAAAAAAATTGAGGGACAACTGGCTCCTCATCCAGTTTCATCCTTATTCTCTATCATGTCCGCAATTAAGTTTTAAATTCAACAAACAAGTCAGAAGGCAATAAACACTTTCACAAGGTCTGAATTCTGTTCATTTTGGACATTGCTCCTATTTACCAAAAGCTTTATAGGGATAGGAAATAAAAACGAGGAAATATTAATCTAAACCCATAACTGCTTCCATATGGCAACATTACTCACTTGTTTCACATTTTCTGCCAAGAACACAACATAAACACCACAAAATCCCAGCTGTGTTATCACTAAGAAAAAGTCCACAATACACCTGAGGAAGAAAAAACAAACATACATTATACTTAAGATCCAAATAATTAACCCATTGTTACCTAACATGCAATTACTGCTCCTTTTCACAGTAATCAAAATGCAACACTCAAATGCCACATTAATTTCACAAGTACTGCAACACATGCTCCTCTTATGGCAAAACACGGTGGCTTTTGTGTGTGTGGTTTTTAAGGTAACACTAAGTAGGCATCACAGTTTCTCAAAAAAAAAAGAAGGTACTCAACATATTTTAAAGTCGCATAAAATGAAATTCAAGGACTTAATGTGGTACAAATGCTAACAACAGACATACATAATTGATGCACCCGTTAGCCCCCAACACAGCAGTTTTCCACCAGGTCCAGAGATAAAACATCTCATATGCAGTCTAAGACATAAAAGTTGCATCAACTCAAGATAACACTTTCACATCTTACCAGGCAGGTCTATCTCAATGTGTCCAAATACACATTCAGACACTGTATATTACTGAAAAAACACTAAACTATGGTTCAGGTTGTTTTTGAAAAAAAGTAATACACAGTGGTGGCCTGAAGACATGGTGTAATGAAGCTCTGCTAGAGTTAAGCATACAACAGAGATCTGCCCCAGAGAATGGATTTGCTGCAGTACAGTGTCTCTGGAGATCCAATTGCCATTTGTGGCTTGTAACTCTTAGGTGCAATAGAGAATTGTCATTATATATCAGTACGAATTAATTTTCCCTCTAATTGAGCTCTTCTCCATTCCTACAAAGTCATCACAAAAGATCTTAAAAGAACTAGTTCACCTTTTGCTTACTCGAAACAAAGTAATAGCCAAAACCCCTGATGCAAGATGCTGCATCCTTGAAAATAACAGGAACAAAAAAAAATTCTTCCACAAGTGAGGTAAAAACCACTTTTAATTAACGTTGAGTAATATGTTTGTTCCACTATTCACAATTTCACTACTGCGCAGTCATACTACAAACTCTACAAACAGCTCTACAGCAACAAATGGCAAAGAAAAATATAATAGTCTTTTTTAAAAGAGGGATAAAGTTTTTAACAGAGACAACAAGCTATTAACATCTTCATGTCATTATTGCAAAAACAGTACCTACTTTATCCATTATTTGTATGTTATATTTAAACAGGAAGCAAAGCAATTCTTTGCTTCCTTTCTGAATAAATCCATTAAAGTAATTAACATCTACAGTATCAACCTGCTTAAAGAGTGAACTCTGATGCAGGGAATGCTGGTAAAAGAGAATGAAAACTTCACTACATTAGACAATACAGAATGCATTTCTGGTTATAACACATCTCTTCCTATATTACTAAACAGAATTCTTTTTCTTCACAGCTCTTGTAGACCTGAAAATTAAAATGCCTAAGAGAGACAGACATCCTCCCATGTCACCACTATTAGCTGGTAGCAGGAAATAACAAATGACACTGCAAAAAATCATTCTTAAGGAAGGCAACATCTTAGTGAAAAGAAATTCTCCTATCATTCCAAGTCAAACCAAGTCAAATTTTTAATAATGAATTTATTCAATTAAATTCTAATTCAAACTTACCTGCCCCAAGAAGCTCGTTTCTGAAGAGCAGCAAGGGGCCCCAATTCCATGGCATAACTAACTGTATCACTATACCCCAGTGAGGACTTTTTCATCCTGAAATCAAAAAATTAAGAAAGAATGGAGTTATTAAAAACTATGCCCTACCTTGAAAATGCTGTTGGTTTCCCAGGATTATAACCTGTGGCAACATTCCACTGGTGCTGAATTTCAGAGGTATGGCTCGGGCTTCCTTACTCCAGGAAGGGTTATTATTTAGCACTCAACAAGCACGTTAAACACAATGTTGCTTCCCCCACTTCAACAGCACTAAATAAGTTCCTTACAGAACAAAGTTTTTTTATAAATTAATCCAAAATCAGATACTTATAATATGAGCTTAAGAAACTGATCTCAAATCTAAAAGTCACAAAGAATTTGAACAGGTTTCAAAAACTCTTCCTGCACAAGCAGTCACAACTGATTCAATGATCTTACTTCAGTGATCATCTTCAAAGATCATTCAAAACCACCGTAGAAGAAGTGAAGAATTCAGGAATGACAGGGTCCATTCACAGTACAATGTCATATTAATCTGGTAAGAGATTTTCCAGCTACGGGGGCATGAATAGTTTTGCAATTCTATTCAGTTTAAAACTTTTACTGCACTTTTTAAACATGAGACTCTCTCACTGCTTTTCTTTTAACACCTGACAGTAAGATAAAAATGTTTAACAAAAGTCACTATTAATCAAAATACTCTATCAGTCTGAATAGCTCTACCAATCCAAAAAACTGCTTCCCCCCGATATTGTACAACTCACTTGGAGGAGTATTTAGTGTTTATCTGCTCACTAGCTCATTTTAACTCATTCCTTCAGCACTACAAGTTCAAAGAATCAAGTTGTCACAATTCAAAGAGACAGAACTCACATATAATCATGGAAGACATTGACAGGATTTCTTAGTTTATCTTTTATTCCTATAGAGTACTTATAAAGTGGCTATTTATAAACTATACACTTTCCAAAGCTATGAAGATTCAGAAGCTATGAAGAAATCTATGAATATAAAGAAGGACTAATGGACTGAAAATAAGCAATTAAAACTGCAATGAGAAAGATCCTATTATTTGCTAGCAGGGAGCAGGGTACTGGGCAACACGTTAAACTAATTTCATTTTGAATATGAACAGAGAACAATTATTTTTTTTCAGTGAGTTGCACAAAGCATACCTATCATTTATAGGTACACACTACAAATTTGAGTGTTGCTTCCAACAATTGGAAGATTCTAAACTGACAGAAGGAACTGCTATAGCATCAGGACATTCTGTAGGCCAAAAATCACAAACAGAACAGACAAATTAAGGAAAAAAATACTGAAACTCAGCAACTGAACAAGTAGTTCCACATTTACCTCTGACACAGAGAGTGGCTGCAACGTACCAAGATGTGCATACAGTGAACCGATATAACTCCTATGAACACAAGGCTGATTGGTCCAACCTGGTATGGAAAAAAAAAGGAGGGAGGACACAGGAAATATACAGAATTTCTCATGAAAATATTCTGGGGAAAAAGCTCTAAATGAAAAAAATTCACATTGTACCAAAAAAAAAAAAAATTTTGTGCAACTGCATTTTTTCCCTCTCTCAGAGGGGGGGGTTACTGCTGACGTTTCACAGCATTCCTTACTTTACATGCACTACTTGAGAGATGGCTATAAGTACCAAATGGGCACAAACAACTGCACTCCTCTAACTGCTTCATTTGCCCAAAAAAGTTTGTCAAGAGAGAAGACTGCATATAGTGTCCAATTCAGAACAGTGGTTTGAAGTGGTTTAAAGTGGTAATGATAGCAAAAGTCACAAACTATAGATAACTCTCAAATTAAATAATTTGTTTCAGAGTGGAAGTTTAACCCGAAATTTCACAGAAGGAATCTGCTTTTCACATGTAACTGTAACTCTTAAACTGAACATCCTGTACTACAGAATTACAGGATTATTTAGTTGTAAGGTGAAAATTTCACTTGAGTAAATTTACCCTGCCCTAGGAAATGCGTTGTTTATTACCTGGTATAAACAACCTGTGCTATAGCCTGTTTCTGCAAAAACACTACATTGATTTAACATGCTGATGATGCATTCTAGGACATACAATCTGCCTCTAGAGAAGTGTGTACAAAGACAACCACATAGTAACAATTCCCATGAGACACCATAGGACCACAGGAGTCTGAGTAAATCAAAATATTTATTTTTTCTACAAAGTTTGTGTTTTGACCAGAAAAACACTTCGAATCGCAACTCATGCAATTAAGTCCTCAGGGTGAAGTAGTAACTTTTTTTTAAAAAAATAAAAATCTTAATCTTCAGTACTAATTTCACCAGACTAAAGAGGAAAATCAACACAACTCTATTAAGATTGCAGTAACAAATAAGTATAGGGATTTTAGTTTTTCAGGACATATATCTGTAAATCAGTCTAGATATTTCTCCTAGTGTATGAAAAAAGAACTGAATTCTTACCACAATACCAGCATTTTTTATTGCAAGTGGAAGACCAAGAAGCCCAGTTCCAATGTTTCCCTTGAGGAGGTGAGTAAGCGTTTGTATAAACCTGAGGATAAAACATCACATTAGAAGTACACTGAGATGGGGCAGGGGGCAAAAGTAAAACCACATCCTCTGTCATTTAATAATAAAGTGATAAATTTTGAGCTTCAACTCACGGTGGTGGTCCAGTTATCTTAAAGTACGTGCAGCACATTCAAATAATGTTCTTATTCATCATTATATGTGAGCACTCTCAAATAGAACATACAAGTCTGATCTTCAGTTCTTTACTCCAGATTGTGAAATGTTATTTTCTGTGCAATTCTATTATTCATTTGCCTCAGAGTCAAAATTACCAAGTTTTATCACTGTTTTATCGCTATTTTAGAATAAATAACATTCAAAAACCAGCTGCAAATCACAAGTCTGACAGCCAAAGCTTTATACAAATTAAAAAAGAAAACCAAAACCCAAACCTTTGCCATCTCTTTTAATTAAACTTTCACAAACAGATTATCTCCAGAATCTTCTCAAAATCTTCTTTAAACAGCGCTTGGATTTTGAGTAATCCAGTCACTTTGCAAATAGGCACCTTGGAATATTTTACGGCCACATTCTTAGCTTCCAAAGAACAAAAAACCTATTCAAAATGGGCTGCTTTTTGGCAGAACTATGTAAACTCCTGATGTACAACCACAAAACTGTCCTGCAGGTGCAAGAAAACCCCTACACAGTTCAGTAAACTGCTCATAAGAAATGAGGGAGAGGTAACAAATTTAAACACGCTGATACTTAAGAGTAACACATACGTAATGCCTTCTTCATTACCAAGCTGGTAATGTGTTTTAACTGGCAGGAAATTATTTTCATGCTCTTCTTCTGAGATGCCATCTGAGTCTTCTTCATCAATTAAAGGCTTCATTACTTCCATGCCTGTACAACAGAGTTAACACTGCATTAGCATTAGAAACAAATTTCGAGCTAAGTAACACCACCTAGCAAGAGCAAGCAGTCAGCAGTGAACAAAATCGCCTTTCAGGCAAAACTAACAGCTTATGCCAGTTTAATGTTGAGTAAATTATAACCATTTTTAAACTACTACAGTTAAGTAAAGTAAATCCTGCCAAGAGCAAAAAGATCATTTACCCTACGCTTGCCTACCACAGTATCCATTCATAAAGTACATCAAGTCTCAACTTTCATAACTTCCACCAAAAAAAGAGAGAAATCCCGGTGACTTAAACATTACTGAATATTTCTACTAAAAGCATTATCAGGCATCGGAACGGGTTGTCCAAGAAAGTGGTGGAGTCACCATCCCTGAAGGTATTTAAAAGATGTGGATGTGGCACTTAGGGATATGGTTTAATAGTAACATGGTAGTGCTAGGGTAACAGATGGACTCAATGATCTCAGAGGTCTTTTCCAACCTTAATGAATTCTAAGTATGCAAGAGCACAGTGAATTACCACATACCTTACAGAACTCTGAAAACACTGATGAATACCATGAAATTCTTTAGCTACATTAAAATATAAATTAAAACATTAGCTACATTAAAAGACTATTCAGCAAGCAAAAATATTTCATAAATTGAATGAACACTGAATACCTTAACTATTTTAAGCTTACTTATGATGTAAGAAAAACACGGATTCTAACGGAATACCTGTGAAATCTGCAACACCTGTGAGCCTGCAGATACATTTAAAAGAAGGTACAGGCAACTGACATCTTTAAAGTACATAAAAGCATATGAACATGCCAAATAAAAGTTTTATTTTGGGGAGTCATTATGGTCAATCTGATAAAAATTAACACTTAATTAATTAAAACAAGATATGTGCAGACAGGAAATATAGAATGCATTGAAAAGTAGCCATTGTACTGGGTTTGTGTAGCAAGGTTTTGGTAGCAAGGGGCTGCAGTGGTGGCTTCTATGAGAAGCTGCTGGATGTCAATAGAGCCAATGCCAGTCAGCTCCAAGATGGACCCACCATGGCCAAGGCCGAGCCTAACAGTGACAGTGGCAGCACCTCTGGAATAACAGTTAAGAAGGGGAAAACACTGCTGAGCAACAACAGCTGGAGAGAGGAGTGAAAACAGGTGAAAGAAGCAGCCCTGCAGACCCCAAGGTCAGTGAAGAAGGAGGGGAAGGAGGTGTTCCAGACACTGGAGCAGAGATTCCCCTGCAGCCCATGGTGCAGACCATAGTGAGGCTGCTGTGCCCCTGCAGCCCAGGGAGGTCAATGGGGATGCAGAGATCCACCTACAGCCCCTGCAGGACCCAGCAGTGGAGGAGGCTGTGACCTCAGGGGAAGCCTGTGCTGGAGCAGGCTCCCGGCAGGACCTGTGGCCTTTTGGAAAGAGGAGCCCACGCTGGAGTAGGTTTGCTGGTAGAACTTGTGGATCCCATGGGGGATTCACACTGGAGAGGTTTGCAGAAGACTGTCTCCCATGGGGAGGGACCCCCACTGGAGCAGGAGAAGACTGTGAGGAGTCCTCCCCCTGAGAAGAAAGGAGCAGGAGAGATAACGTGATGAACTGATCACAGCCCCCATTCCCTATCTCCCTGCACTGCTGGATGGAAGGAAGTAGAGAAATTGTGAGTAAACTTGAACCTGGAAAAAAGGGAGGGATGGGGAAAACGTTTTATTTTTAGATTTATTCTTATTTTTCATTACCCTCTCTGATTTGACTGATAAGAAATTCAATTAATTTCCCCAAGACAAGTCTGTTTTGCCCATGATCGTAATTGGTGAGTGATCTCTCCTGTCCTTATCTCAATCCATGAGCCTTTTGTTATATTTTCTCTCCTCAGTCCTGCTGAGGAGAAGAGTGATAGAGTGGCTTCTCTGGGCACCCAGTATCCAGCCAGGGCCAACCCACCACAGCCATTCAACAAATCATTAAGGTTTTTATTAAACCTTAAAGATGTCTAACCCACCAGCAGGGCACTGAAGCCAATGCTAAGTAAGAATAACCTCTAAAGAAAAACTGTAAAACAAGTGTAAAAATCCTACAAAGCAGAAGGCAGCTTATTCAAGTCGTTAAAATTAAAAGCAGAGCTCAAACTCTCCTGAAAAAACTAAAGGGTCATCCGAATTTCATGTCAGTAAAGTTGAAAGCCAGTAATGAAAGCACTTGACAGAAGCAAAGATGACTAGTTAAGAGCAAAAATCAGAGGTCAGAGACTCAACCAGTAAGTACACTGTAGAGTAAATTTATACTCAGTGATATTCTAATTATAGAAGTCAAGGCAGACTTAAACATGTTTCACTACATGGCATATAGTCTATAAATTGATCAAAAGAAGGATCAGCAAAGTTCCTTCCCTCTGCTCCCACAGCATTGTGCTGACTAGTTCTTGAGGATGCCACGACCATCCTCTCTCAGCTCCGAGTCCCTGCTGGGTTCATTTGATGCTCACAAAGACCTGCACATTCTAGTTCTGGAGTAAAAGTTTGCCCCCTCAGGGGTCAGAGGGAGCTGGAAGTTTCACCCAGTGGGCAATTGATTAGGCTCATTTTCATTCTTTAAAATATTGATTCTAAACTTAGAATCTGAAGTGTTTTCATTAGGAGCAAGCCAAACTACAAGCGTGCAAAGTCTCTGATCACATGAGATTCAACTACATATAAAAGGAATAATAATAAAAATATTTTCCAGTTTTGTCTCCATCATATTTCATAGGATGCTCTTTGTAATGCTAAGCAACAATGACAATATGCAGCAACTAAGGTTCCTATTTAGCAGTGTGAGGGAACCAGCACAACCCTTAGGACCAATAGCTCTGGTGACTATCAGCAACTGCTCAGTCAAGAGAGAAAAGTAAAATTTTCTTCTTCCCTTACAGCCTGAGACTGGAACATTTGATATATACCTACATCTACATTGTTTACCATGCAACCGGATGACACTCAGAAGACTGAATTTTTCAGACACCCCATTTTACTTTTCTCCCAACTTCCTGACCCATCTTCTGATCACAAAGGTAGTCCTTTAAGAATGGATTTAGACATACTCAAGCATTCCCCTCATCTTTTAAATAGTAAGAATTTTTCTAAGACAAGCTATTTTTCTTCTGAAAAGTCATCTGCCCATGCTTAAAGCTGTCTATTGGAGCTGGAATAGTGATGACAATAACCCTCAGATGACTAATTACCTAACTTACTGTCAACTATTCACCCATGTTCTCAGAAATTGCTTAAACTAGACCTCAGAATATCTGTTTCCAACTTGTACACTAAGGTTGGCAATTTGCTGATCCTGTTCTAATGTAATAACACACTTGAGAATAAATTCTATTAGAAGTTTTCAAACACAGGCAACAGCAATCTGCATCAACTCACATTGTGATAACTATACTTACTACAGGTTCCCCTGAAATACTGCATTATATAAAATATTCCGATAATGCTATCTAGTCTCTATTCTAGCCATAGAAATGCTTTTGAATTGCCTCTTCTCCTTGTCATTCCTCCTTCATCCTATGACTGGTGTATAGTTTTGGCCTAAAATATGTGAATCCGTTAAAAGTAAAGGTCCTGGGACATAATACGAGGTTTGGGTCATGCAACTTTCTAAGCATGGGTTTTTATTTGATGAGATCCCTGCTGCTGGAAGGAATACTGTGGCTGTGTCCCACTGCACAGTCCACACTCACAGTGACATACAGGTTTGTGTAACATCCAGATTTAATGGATCCAAACTTGTTGTCCAGAGCACACCAAGCAAGAAAGCTTGAGCTCACAAGGTCAAAGAATGGGTGCTTTGCATACTTGTACCTAGCCTGAAATGAATTATTCTGGAAAGTCCACAGTCACTGCCAGAAAATTGGTACAGAATACCCATATTTACTTTGATTCCTTCCTACAAAGGTCCAGTATGTGCAGTTTAAATCAGATCTCAAACTCCAGCTACAAGAACAGCATATACATGTCATACTTGCATCAAAGATGAAGTTGTCTGGCTGCTCTCACAAAGCACCTGGTGCAGAGCATACCTCAGCCAACCTCAGGTCCATGCTCCTCCAAGCTGTTCTGGTGGCATCCAAACACACTACGAATGATCCAATCCAGTGCCCAGCCACTGAAAATTCTGCATTATCATTACTCAGCACAACTTAGAATGAGGAAATTCACTTCTACACACCCTTTTGTTTTTACTTAGCCTAAGTACCAGTCAATTTTCAGCATTGTCTTTCAATCAGCTAATATGAATTTCTTTTCTCCTTGTACCACCACAAAAATCTTTTCAGATCAAATGCTGTCTTCTGATTGTCTTTAACAGCTATTTAAATATCTGTCATTGTTTCTGCTTTCTTCTTTGAACACCCAAGTAAGCAGGGTGCCAAAAAGCTCTGCAAGTACTGCTACTATCAAGCAAGGCAACAGAGTGCATTTCAACTTCACCCAGAGTTAACCACTGCAATGTTTAAATTGATTCCTTAAACCATTGGAGACATAAATTCACTTATTCATTACAGCTACACCTCACACTAAAATCATGCATAAATGTCAACACTGTATCTTCAAAGACCTCTGACAAATTTCAGTCACTAATCAGCCACCAGTTACACAGTGAAATTAAACCTACAGTGTTTAAATTGCTATGACCAGGATTTCCAGATTTGAATCTTCAAGTGTACTTTTCTATCCCCTAGAATTTGCATCTTGACAATGTTTATGGACATATTACCAAAGAAACTTTTGAACTGTTATTAAATGGACTTAATTCTAAAGCTTTTACAGCACAATAAAGCAATCCTTTGGTTCCAAAATTCTGTAAAGAAACAAATTTTTCACCAAGAACTTTAGTTAATTTTTCTATACAGCTCAAGCAATTAACATTTCTAAATTTAACTGAACCATGCAGCACCACAAGTAATAAAACTGATCATCATTTTCATTTTACAGAAGAAACAGTGACAAAAGGATGAAAGTTTGCCAGGGCTGCACAAGAAGTTAAAGGTTGAGGAGATATTAAAAACAAAGCCAAGTACAATCTTCTATTGTTCCTCTGGAGAAGGTCATCCCCTAGCCAAAGTCATATCTAAAACCCCCTTTACAAATCCAATTTAACAGTATGATCTGGTTTTTGTTAGCTTAGTTGTTTTTCCTTCAGGTTTTTGAAGTCAGTGTCAGCAAACAATAAACTCGATTTGATATATAAGCATAAAAAGATTTGGGGGATAGAATATAGCCCACATTAGCTAATTTTACTCATTTACGGGAGAAGGAACACACAGACATTGTTGGAGCAACACTTCACATGTATATTAAGTGCTCAGCAAAAAGCAGCAGGCAAAGGACATCTCATAGATACTTCACTGCACGGTCAGCTTCTACATAAGAACATGCCCACAGGGCCAGAAACACTGTACAAGATTCACAGTCCTGTGAAATCTGTTTATTAAATAGAGGGTGACCCAGGGCCTCCATAACTGGGATAAAGATTCGAGTTAACAAGCAGCTAGTTTGACTGTTGAATAAAAGAGAAAATCAGAACCATGTCATCTTTACACTAGCCTAAAATGTGGGTTTATGCTAATATTTTCCCAAAGGCTATGGAAAGCCATATTCATGATCCAGAGGGTATACCCAGAGCTTTTGTCACCAACCAAGGCCAGCTGCTCTTATGGGACAAGGTTAGCACTTGAGTCTGTGAATAGCAACACAGCCTAGGAGACTTCACTACAGTGTAACACAGAAAACACATTTATGTCTGGCAGCAACCACGTCTGTGACAACCGGAGGGGCTTGGTGTTCCCAGCAACTACTGCAGTCCACAAATGATCCATTTATTGTCTCAACGCTGTGGAGAAGCTTTTTAATTCAGCATTCAGAACCAGGGCTCTCAAGACAAATTTAGTTACAAAGAAAACATTGCCCCTAATTATTTTCAGAATAACACTCAGTTACTCCCTCAGCCACAGAAAGAAGTACCTGTTTCTCCACTACCCAAGCTTTAGCCTACAAATAAACTTCCCAGCATTTCTCCAGAAGGCATCTAACTGTATAGTCCAGCATTATCCCTGAAGCACACATGATCTCCCACGTTACTCAGTCACATGCTTCTGCAACCTCCAAAGAAATTATGGAGCAACACGAAGTGACCATGGATGGTAGTGCTAGGGGTACACTGGTCCACAGCAATAAACATCTGTAAATTTTCCTACTTAAAGAAGGAAATAACAGATAACCCCAATACACCATACACAAGCCAACTCCCTTTTTATCTTCCACTACAGCAACTCTTATTGAATATGAGAGACATAAAAACAAACAAAACCCTCAAACTGAAACACATTTTCCAGTTTGAAAATTAAAAAGGAAAACTCATCTGGTTTAAAAGTTCCTGTTAAATACTAATAATTATATTTTCCAGAATAGTAAAAGATAGCATTAGTTTTTGTTGTGTTTGCTTGCCAAGAACTTTATGCTTCATGCTGTTATTTAAATCCCTCTTTATTTTTCTTTGGAAAATATATCTTGTGTCATTTATCTGTTTCCATTACATGATATAATTTAATAAAGTAGATTTATTCAGCTTTGTGGTAGAATTTATTAATCATGAGAATCATTATTTCTAATGTTGAAAGTCAATAATGCACCTCAAAATGCATGAAGAACTGTTTGCTTTTGCATCACAACTGTCAAATCCAGAAGGCTCATAAAATCAGACAGAGTTATTAAACCAAGTGTACACAAGCACAGGTCTCCACAGTTATTACACCCTTTAACCCCAACCCACAATGAATCATTTATTTGGGAAAACGCTAGTCTTAAATAATCCACTATCCTGTCTAGACCAAGCCACACATTTCTACTATTAACACACTCTCAAGGGAAGACACACTGGCAAGACTTTCACTTTATTAAGTATTCGATAGGACAAAACCATGTAAAAATCTTCAGAATTCTTAGCAGGTGTTGATCTGCATTTTTAAACAGTTAATCCCATAAACAAATTCTGCTTCTACTGTCAGACCTGTAACCTTAGGGAAAAAAAAGGCTTAAATATCTTTCAGCCACCTTTCCTCGGGAAGTGGCAGTCCCTCGATGCAAGATGGAGCAGCCTTGGGGACAATAAAATTTGAAGTATGTCTTCCAATTCCCACCATTACCACTGGACAGGATGAATTCCTCAGATTACAGTGGAACTATAATCTTCGGATTTCCAGCTGAGGGCAATAAGGATGATTAGGGTACTAGGACATCTCTCTAAGGAGGAAAGGCTGATGGAGCTGAGCCTGTTCAGCCTTGAGAAGAGACAACTGAGAAGGGACCTCCTTAATGTGCATAAATATCTGAAGGTGTGAAGGGGGGTGCCAAGATAAGGCCAGGCTCTTCTTGGTGGTTCCAAGCAATAGGGGAACAGGCCATGGGCAGAAACTGATGTACAGGAAGTTCCACCTGAAAGTGAGGAAGAACATCTTCACCGTGCGGGTGACCAATCACTGGAGCAGACTGCCCAGAGAGGTTGCGGAGTCTCCTTACTTAAGATATTCCAGAACCATCTGGACGAAATCCTGTGCCATGTGCTCTAGGACGACTCGGCCTGAGCAGGAAGGTTGGACCATGAGACCTACTGTGGTCGTTCCCAACCTCACCTATTCTGCGATTCTGTGGACACAGCTTTGAGATGAGATTTTCAACCAGCCCAGCCCCAGTTACACTTTATAGCTACACCTGCTACAAGCTATCTTGTCCATCTGCGGACAGAAAAACTAAGAGATGAACATCGATGTACCCTCCCACACACAGACTTAAAGCAAACCACAATCCTTCATCGCAGATGAAAGAACGTATTTTCATGTACTTCCATGGAGGCCGTGACTTCCCAAAGTAACCGAGCGCTAGCCAGGTGTGACTGACGCCCTCAGGGAGCGACTCCTGCAGAACCCCAGCTCCGCTCCCCTCAGCCCGCCCGGCCTCAGGTGCCGCCGATCCGGCTCCGGGGTGCTCAGCCCTCACCACCGCTCCCCCGGCCCCGGCGCCGCGGAGACGCGGCAGCACAGAGCGCACCCCTCCCCCAGGTGGGATGGTTCATCCGCCGCCCCGGTGTGCTGAGCGCCGCAGCGCATCCCCGTGGCCGAACCATCCGGCTTTGGAAAGCGAAGAGGGGTGGGAGCTGGCGGCTCACTCTCGGCGCTCGACGCTCTCACAATGCCCCGCGGCCAAGCGCCATCCCGCCCGCCCTCAGCCGCTCTGGCCCCGCCGGCCGGCACGGCTCAGCCCTCGCCTACCCAGCTCGTCCCTGCCCGCGCGGCCATCGCCCGCCCGGGCTCCGCTCGCCCTTCCGCGGATGTGGATCCGACCGGCGCGGCGCATGCCGCCCCGTGGAAGCGAACCAAGGAGAGCGGCGGGCAAGGCGGGGCCTGCCGGGGCTGAGGGGGCGGTGCCGCCTCCCGGTGCGGGTTGTGTCCGTTCTCGGTGCCCTGGTCCGGCAGTAGCCCGGCGGCTCAGTGTCCACTTTAGCACGTGCCCATAGAAATACAGAGTGTCTCAGTTTGGAAGAGACCCATAAGGATCATCAAGTGCAACTCCCTGCTCCATGCGGGACCACCTAAAACTAACCCATATGACTAAGAGCACTGTCCAGACGCTCCTTGAACTCTGATATTATCAGCATCGTTACTGTTGCTCCTTGGCTCTGCTGCAGCCCCAGGTGTGATGGCCCCATAAAGCGCTGGACACATCTGCCGCCCTCGGCAGGACTGGGGAGAGCGGCTTTGCATGGGGCACTGCAAGCACAGAGCCATAATTAATCAGCAGAGACTAAAATCAGGGGTGGGAACAAAGAGTGCAGCGGAACTAGACAGCTCAGCTTGCCTGTGATTTGCAGTTTGACCTCCTGAAAGTCAATCCCCTTCAACAGTTCAAATTATTTTCCCTGTGTGAAACAAGAAATGACTCATAGAATCATAGAATGTTAAGGGGTTGAAACAGACCTTAAAGATACCCGGTTCCAACCCCACTGCCATGTGCAGGGACACCTCCCACTAGACTAGTTGCTCAAGGCCTTATCCAACCTGGCCTTGAACAGGGCACACAAAACCTCCCTGAGCAATGTGTTCCAGTGCCTTATCACCTTCACAGCAAATAATTTCTCCTGTATATCTAACCTAAATTTCCCCTCTTTCAATTTGTACCCATTACTCCCTGGCCTGTCACCACAGTTCCTGACCAAGAGTCCCTCTCCAGCCTCCCTGTAGGCCTCTTTCAGACACTGGAATGTTGCTACGAGATCTCCATGCAACCTACTCCAGGATGAACAGCCTCAGCTGTCTCAGCCTGTCTTTGTAGGGGCGGTGCTTCAGACACAAAATGTTATTTGTGAGAATCATAGTTAATGATGGATGATATGAAGTGTTATCTCTAACTAATCATTTCATATCAAATTACTCACTCCCTGAAACTGATGTTCCACTTTTTGTGGATTCCACAGGAATGCTGCATCTCCTCTGCACACTCTTGTAGATAAGAATATTTCTTAACAGCTTCACCAATAAGCAAAATAAACATGAAGGAAATGCAGATAGTGAAACAATTCAAAACACTGTGGATTTAGAAATCCTCTGCTCATAATTAAATGTTTCTATCCATAATAAAAGAAAGCAGTTTTTCTTGTAATTTCTTAGATTATTTTTTTTTTAATCTTTGGAAATCAAATATATCAAGATGTTAAAATAGATTTCAATCATAGTCTCTAATAAAAGCTACAATCAGAGCTTCGGGTCACTGCAGTGATGCTCAGAATTCTTACTCTCTAAACCTTTCCTCTGAAATTAAACATTTTAGACTTGTAAAACAAAAGCTTGTACAATTCCATAAGCTTTTATTTCATGGTTTGAAGACCCTAATGCAGGGCTGTTGGAAGGGGGGATGATGTCCTATCTTAATGAAAGACACAGTGCTCTGAAAGATTTTTAACTGAAGATATACTGTCTAGCCTAAAAGGATCACCTTTTGATAGAACCTTCTCCTAGCAGGCTTAGTCTATTGTGACTTCCAAATATCTGGAGGCTGAACTTCCACTAACCTGACACCCACCCTTTAATCTATCTTTCATGCTAGTTCCTCCTAGAATAATGTATCAGTATTTCTCCATCAAAACTATCAGTATTCTGCCCATATATATGATTGATTTGACTTAAGTAATAAAGTTTCCCACTGTTGGTTTCCTAAAACAGAACTTTTCTTTTTTGCAATAAGAATGTATGATAAAATTTTTTTTCTACACAAGAGAAATGCAAGAATCATCTGAAACTTCTCAGAAACTTCAGTCATCTTTAAACAAACATCATTAATTAGTTTATCTACAGTGAAGAAATTCCAGTGTGGAAAACATTCATTTTCAATTGTCAAATTCATGTTTATTCTGGATACAATACTCCAGACTTTCATTAAAAAAAATGAGCCATGTGAGTGAGCTATTATGTGGTTTCCTCAAATTTATTTTGGAAAAGGCTTCTCAGTAGGCAATCTGTTAGTGCAGGTTATTGATTTAAGGAACTGATTCACTAATTACAATGCTTGTGTCAAGCCTTTATGCAATGTGTATGTATTTTCTTTGTATTCGTCCATATTCTGTATTCTACATTGTTTCTAGTAATGCCAAACTTCGTTTGGGAAAATATATAAGATCACTAGTGTATATTCAAAATTCGTATTCAGTTAACAGTGTTCATTCCTTCCACCTTGTCATTGCATCTCAGGACTTGGCTCCCAGTAAATCCTACACAGACATTGAAGAGACATTAAGGACATGATACATCTTTATTTCACATCCTACTCAATGGAAAACTTCTTGTTTCTGCTACTTGCCATTATTAGCATCAAAATTCCTTTCTCCAGGAGAAGGTTTATTATGTGTTTAAATATATTTTTCTAATATGCTCCAAAAATTATATCTAATATGTGACTAACCAGTGGTGATCAATTAATATTCAAAAAACACAGGAGATTCTATAATGTGATAGAGATTAATGATTTTGTAATATACATTTTGTTCTCCTTTGGTAAGAATAGAAGGATTTGCTTTACTGCAAACATCTGGTTAAATTCTAGACACCCATCCATCAATGCAAAATTACTTCATGATGTGAATATTGTAGACACCAAATGCCTATTTGCCCTAGGCTTCAAATTCTGCATAGCATATACAGCTTGCCTCTTAGAAATCATGGATTCAACTCATGTTGTTTCTGTTGATTCAGAACAACGCCAGATGGAGCAAAATACATAGCTTCTTCCATTTTTAATCTTTTTTAATTAAAAGCTAACCCTGAAATCTTTAAGGGCCATTTTTGGAATTGTTTTTTTGTCTACCTAAACCCTCCTTACTAGAATAGATGCTCTGCTAGATCTATTTCCACACTGTTTTGGGGAAAAAAACCAATAACAGAGTAAATTTACAGAATTACTGTTTCAATATACAATTCCTCCATACAAATGCCAGCTAGCTTTAGTTTGGGGGCTGCTCACGTTTTGAGGAACTTTTCTTCCATTTCTTCATGGAATCTTTTTTTTCTTTTGCAATGCTTTATATTTGGCTTCCAGACCATCCAGCGGCAGCAAGTCCCACACTTTAATTATTCATTGTACAAAAAAAAATTGTGCCATTTGAGCATTCTACCTGATATTCATGTGATAACTTCTAGTTTTGTAATATAAAAATAATTATTCCATTTATCTTATCTTAGTCATTCTTGACAGATCACTGTCATACTCTCTCTCCTATGTCTTTTCCAGGCTGAAGAGTCCTAGTCTATTTACTCTCCCCTCACAAGGATGCCATTTCCTGCTTATCATAATTTCTCTCCCCTTCTGCAATTTCTAGATCTCCTATGTTCAGTTGCATATAAGGGCACCAGACCTGCAGCCATACAAAGTCACTGAAAACCCTTCTGCCTACATCTGAGTGTTTTTCACTCTTCCTTTTTATAACAGTTTGTATTTTAACTTTTACTCAGGTACTACTTTGCAATGTGATTACTTTGCATGGTGTTTTAATAAGCCGTTGGTAGGCCTCAATTATGTTGCCATCCATCTGCCTGTAGACTATAATTCTGTCTGATTGGCAAATTATTGGCATTCCTCTAAGATTTATACCACTAATTTATTTGTAAGAGCACATTTTGAAATCACCTTGAATATGAATATGGCATCCGCATTTCATTAGATCCTGGATAGCATATTGCTCATCTAGGTATTAAAAAGCAATACCTCCTGCTAATTCATCACTCAACATCATGGGATCAAACTGAAAAAGGAAATATTTAGGTTAGATATACTGTGAGAGCAGTGAGGCACTGTAACACATTGCCCAGTGAAGCTGTGGATGCCCTGTCCCTGGCAGTGTTCAAGGCCAGGTTAGATGAGACTCTCAGCAATGTGGTTCAGAGTGACTTCCCTGCCCATGGCAGTGAGATTGGAACAAAATGATCTTTAAGGTTCCTTCCAACCCAAACCATTCTGTGATTCCATGAATCTGCGATGTAAAACATGTATATATCTTTTCACCTCTTTAGAATTCCTTGGTCACAAGCATGAACTTTCACACTAAGTCCTTATGATCAATATGCTGCTCTGTATTAGGCCATTTTCAAGGGTTCTTATTTTCCTTCTTTTCTTGGTACAAATTTCAAGCACTGAACATTCTAAACTGTGGTAAAAAAATCAGCATCTAAATGCAGCTTTAAAAAAATGCAGTCGATAAACCAGGAGACTTAAGGTTTTAGAAGGACTTGTTTGATGCGTCCTGAATAGGGGACTGTTTTGTAACATCTTTTTGATATGAAGCTTCATGCCATGCCTGCCTTTCTTTGCCATGAAAACATTTTTAGAAGGAGGTCCAGAGGTTGACTTCCATTCCATTTCTTAGAATCATAGAATAGTTAAGGTTGGAAGGGACCTTTGAAGATGATCTGGTCCAATCCCCCCTGGTCAAGCATGGTCAGTGGGCCTATCCAGTATTTTCACAAAGGAGAATCCACAGTGTCTCTGGACAGCCTGTGCCAGTGCTTGGTCACCCTCACAGGAGAAAAGTGTTTCTCAATGTTCAGAGGGAACCTCCTGTGTTTCAGTTGGTGTCCATTGCCTCTGGTCCAGGCACTGAACGCCACTCAAAACAGCCTGGTTTCCTCCTCTTTGCACCTTCCCTTCAGTTCTTTGTAGACATTGATGGGATCCCTCTGAGCCTTCTCTTCCCCTATCAGAATAGTCCCAGCTCTTTCAGCCTTTTGTCACAGGACAGTTGCTCCAGTCCCTTCATCCTTGTGGCCCTTGGTTGGACTCTCTCAGTCTGTCCTAGTCTCTCTTCTACTGAGGAGCCCAGACCTGAATACAGCACTACAGGAGCAGCTACACTGGTGCTGAGCAGAGGGAAAAGACTGACCACCTCCTTTGATGTGGTGTCAATACTTTACCTGGTACAGCCCAGGATGCCATTGGGTCGCCTTTGCAGCAAGGGCCCATTTCTGGCTCACATTCAGCTTGGTGTCCTTTTCTGCCAAGCTGCTTTCCAATTGGGTGGCCCCCAGCATAAACTGGTGCCCAGAGTTGTTCATGAGGTGTGTGGCTGAAGATGGCAAACGTTGTCAATGTCACTAATTAAGGACAAAGAACATAAAAGACCTATTGTGTTTAACAAATATGCATCAAACTCCAAAACTGCTGTTCATAAGTTTGATTGCTACAACTGTGACAAACACGGAAATGTTAGATGGTCCCCACTGGAATCCATAAAAACCCAGCTGTTTAGTAACAAAATGTTAAGTCTAGTGTGCGTTGACTCTCTCTAAGCTCTGATGAAGAATAAGTATGATTACAGAAGATGCTGCAGTGTCAAAAATGCCAGTGGTAGTTCATACTTCAAATAGAAATAATCAGCACAGTTCAAATATCAGAAGCATTTGAGAAAGCCGCCAGGATTTTTCCCAACATGAATCATTATCATGTTAGTAAAGCAGAATATTTTTTCTCTCCCTTAATGAAATTAAAATATCTTTATTTGCATATAGATCTGTATGTGCTGGGACTTATCAGTCAAGCATTGCCAACATCAAAGTTTGCTATTGTTGTTTAATTTGGTGGGCTGCCAGTGTCAACTTTCTTATAGTACAGTTCAAAATAAAAGCACAGCATCCCTTCAATAAGTAGG